TGGTACTGGGGATCGAACTCAGGACCTTATGCTTGCAAGGCAGGCACGGTGCCACTGAGCTAAATCCCTGGCCCTCAAATTTTTTTTAATAATTTTTTTTGTAATGGTTGGGGATACAGCTCAGCATGAAGTCCCTGAGGCTCAATTCCCAGTACTGCAAAGAAAAAAAAGGAGTCGGGCCCCAGGGATATCAGTTCACTTCTGAGGTGTAGCCTGTCAGGTTTGGGGACAGGGGACTTCAGAAGCCCTCAGTCCTGTCTTCAGAGGGGCCGAGGTCCATAGGAAGCTGAGGAGAGGAAGCTCACAGTGCAGAGAGGAACAGATCTGAGCCCAGAGTCTGCTGTGCTGGCGGAACAGCTCTGAGCCTCATTTTTCTCCTCTGTGAACTAGGGGCTAGCAACAGCCCTTCCTCCGAGGACGCTGTTGGATCCATGAGATGCCTCCCTCACCGCAGGCGGCACGCAATAGGCACTTGGGAAGCCCAAGTTCTGTCCCTTGCTTCCACCTCCTGCATCTGCCTGCCTTGTCCTCAACTCTGGCCAGCTGAGGCCAGGAGAGGGGAAGCGAGGAGCTGCCCTCCCTGTGGCAGAAGGGAGGGGATGCCGTTTCCTGGGCCATTTCCTGGGATCCGCTCTGTGGCCACCACTTAGGCAGTTTCTCCCGGATGCCTGCCAGGGGCGGGGATGGGGCAGGGACTTCCTGGTTGGCTCAGAACCAACACAGGGCAAATCCCAGAGGTCGCTGGTGAGTCACTGGTCTGAGCTGTTGGATGCATAAATTCTGCAACCTGGGGGACTTGGATCTCCCAGCAGCAGCACAGAAACTCCTGGGTCATGGCAGCCCCTTCAGATCTTGACCTTCCTCCGATTCCTCACTCACTGCAGGGACTTCCTGCCCCGTGGATCTGGCATTGTCACCCGACGTCCCCTGGTCTTGCAGCTGGTCAACGCTACCACAGGTGAGTGCCCTCCATCACATCCAGGCCCGCTTCTTCAGCAACCACCCCACCAAGGTGCTTGCTGAGAAACCTTCGCCAGGGCGTCCTCTTTTGCCTCTGGGCCTCCACTCCCCATCTGGACAAAGGAGACGGGGCTGTTGTGTTTGGAGACGAGTCTGTTGCCGTGGGACACGGAGCCCAGGTGGGGTTCTGTGATGCCTACTTCCCTTCCCCTACCTGCTTCTGGGCAGAATATGCCGAGTTCCTCCACTGCAAGGGGAAGAAATTCACCGACTTCGAGGAGGTACGCCTGGAGATCGAGGCTGAGACTGACCGGGTCACGGGCACCAACAAGGGCATCTCGCCAGTGCCCATCAACCTGCGAGTCTACTCGCCACACGGTGAGGACCTGGCCTTGCCCCACCCTCTCGACTAATTTGCGTGGCTACGTCCCGGATAATTTCCAGGACCCGCCCTTTTCTGGTGCCTCAGTGTACGAAGCCTGCAGACTCCGCCCCCACAACGGCCCCACTTCTGCCCCAAGCCCCACCCTCTGGTGACTCCGCCCACCTCTGACCACGTCCACGCCCCCACCCCACTGTTTCAGCCATGGTGTTTTCCTAACCCCTGTCCAGTGCTGAACCTGACCCTGGTGGACCTGCCGGGAATGACCAAGGTCCCCGTGGGAGACCAGCCTCCGGACATCGAGTTCCAGATCCGGGACATGCTTATGCAGTTCGTCACCAAGGAGAACTGCCTCATCTTGGCTGTGTCCCCTGCCAACTCTGACCTGGCCAACTCAGATGCCCTCAAGGTCGCCAAGGAGGTGGACCCTCAGGGTAAGTTTCCCCCGGACAGGCCAAGTGGTGACATCTTACTTTGGGGGAGCTCCTGGAGAGATAAGTAAAACAGTTGCTGGATCCAGTTTATGCCTTTAAAAATCATTTTGGAGCCGAATATGGTGGTGCATGTCTCTATGCCAGCACTCTGGGAGGCTGAGGCAGAAGGGTCGCAAATTTGAGCCCAACCTGATCAACTTAGCAAGACCTTGTCTCAAATTTAAAAGGAGGGAGGACCTGGGAATGTATCTCAGTGCAAAGGCCCCAGCTTCGATCCCCAGTATTGCAAAAAAGAAAGAGATTGTGTTGGCCTCTCTGGAATGTGAAAGGGGGGGCAGTCCGGACTCGGTGGGGGTGGGGGTGCATAGGTCTGTGGCCCACACCCAGGCCAGCGCACCATTGGGGTCATCACCAAGCTGGACCTTATGGATGAGGGCACAGACGCCCGCGACGTGCTAGAGAACAAGCTGCTCCCACTGCGCAGAGGTAGGCAGACCACGCCCCTTCCGGCTCCCCGGCCCCGTCCCCCTCCCCGTCTCTCCCAAAGCCCGGAGCCCCTCACCCTCACTCTGTCCGAAGGCTACATTGGGGTGGTGAACCGGAGCCAGAAGGACATAGACGGCAAGAAAGACATCACAGCTGCCCTGGCCGCGGAACGCAAGTTCTTCCTCTCCCACCCGTCCTACCGCCACCTGGCTGACCGCATGGGGACGCCCTACCTGCAGAAGGTCCTCAACCAGGTAGGGGAGCAGGCGGAACAGGGCCTGGGGAGCCACGCCCCCCCGAGAATGGGAACGAGTAAGCATATGCAGTGGGGGGCCAGTAGAGGGGAGCATGCCCCTTCTGCAAGCAAACAGACCCAGAAAAGCAACTCAGCTCACCACTGACCCCTAGGGGTGGAGCAGAGCCTGACTTACCTTTTACCTGTCTGGGACCTGCAGGGGGAGCCCTGGGACTCGCAAGACAGAAGGACACCAAGACCTTGTGTGGAGGGAGGGTGGGGTTTGCACCCTGGATGAGAGGGTGGCTGGCTGGAGACCTCAATTCCCCCTGAGATGGGAGAAGCTGGCCTGGGGAGCATGGCAGCTTTCCCAAGGGTTTCCCATGGATGTTTCTCCACCCGGAATGTGTGTGAGCCAGGCACAGTGACACACACCTATCGTCCCAGCACTTGGGAGGCTGAGGCGGGAGGATCACAGGGTTGAGTTCCCGGCCAACCTGGGCTACTTAGTGAGTTCAAAGCCAGACTGAACTACACAGGGAGACCCTGTCTTTAGAAATAATAATAATTATTTTATATATATATATATACAGACTTGGGTTCCATCCTAGCCTCGTTACTCTCCGACTGAGACACACTCTCCACCTCTGCATCTGTAAAATAGGCATTGTGGTGACCAGACCCTCTTTCAGTGAAGGTTCAGAGAGATCTACCAGAAGGGCCTAGTGAAGAATTGCTGTAATAAGGAAGGTCTGAGACCCAGAAGGTGCGAGACCTCAGCATCCCTGCCCCAGGCACTCTTGGCCCGCCCTTTATGGTATCAAAAAATATTAAGGGGACTTTTGTTTCAGTCTGAGACAGTGGTACTCACTCGTAAACCCAGCTACTCAGGAGGCTGAATCAGGAAAATCGCAAGTTGGAGGCCAACCTGGGCAACTTAATAAGGCCCCTTATCCAAATAAAATACTTTTGAAAAGGGGCTGGGGATGTAGCTTAATGTAGAGTGCTCCTGGCTTCAAGCACCGGTACCGCCAGTTGATGATAAAAATAAAAATTTTTTAAATCAGGTGATTTCAAATATAAATTCAGATCTCTGGCTTATGTCGAGAGCTGAGTTATGTGCTTACTGACTCAAACAGCACTGCTCGGGGGGGGCCACCTGCGTGCCAGCCGGCAACCTCCCAGCATCCACTCCTGCCTGGTCCTGTGGCATCTGGGTTTATAACTGTGGCCTTAACCCCTGCCTAACCTGCACCCCAGCAACTGACGAACCACATCCGGGACACGCTGCCAGGGCTGCGAAACAAGCTGCAGAGCCAGCTGCTGTCCATTGAGAAGGAAGTGGAGGAGTACAAGAACTTCCGCCCTGATGACCCAGCGCGCAAGACCAAGGCCCTGCTGCAGTGAGACCCCCCACCCCCCACACCCATCATTCAGCTGCCCCATCCCCGGCCTCTCAGCACCCTCAGGCCGCACTGCTCTGCCCACAGGATGGTCCAGCAGTTCGCGGTGGACTTTGAGAAGCGCATCGAGGGCTCTGGAGACCAGATTGACACCTATGAACTGTCGGGAGGAGCCCGCATTAACCGGATCTTCCATGAGCGCTTCCCCTTTGAGTTGGTCAAGGTAGGGCCGGCAGCCCCAGGGCCCTCCTGAGCCCCTGTTCTACCCAGGACTCTTGGATGTGCCCCTCCGCTGACCCCTGGGAATGGGGTGGGCCCTCCGTCACCTCCCTGGGGACGGCCCTGACCGGCTTCCTGTCCCTGCTCTCCTCGCAGATGGAGTTTGACGAGAAGGAGCTCCGACGGGAGATCAGCTACGCTATCAAGAACATCCACGGCATTAGGCACGTACTGGGACCGGGGAACGGGCTGAACCCCAGAAGGCAGAGTCTATGCCAAGGCACAGGGAGTAGTGAAAGTAGTGAAAGCTCCCAGCTTTCCAGCTCCCAGAGCAGCAGGCTCCAGCCAGGGAAGGTGGGTGGGAGGCCTGGGCCACCCCATTCCCCGCAACCTCCTGCCCTCCTCTGCCGTCCCTGGGAGCAGGGCCTGTACGCACAGGGCACAGGTGGCCAGGGAAACCCCTTCTAGGGCTGAGCCTGCCCTTCCCCTGGGTGAGATACCTGTAAACACACCGCTGGGGAGGACCTGGGTGGAGCACCCACACGGGGATGGGGTCTGCCTCCCTCCTCGACAGTGGGAGTCTCTCCAGCCGTCAGACCCTCTCACATCCCCTTGGCTCAAGCCAGCCCATCCCACCTACCTCCCTCCTTCTGGGCCACCCAAGGCCCATGGGCCAGGAGGGATTGGGAGAGAGACAGACTGTTCTCCTTCAAAGCGTAGGCCCCTCTTCAGGGACCCTAATCCGCACCATGCTCATTCAATAAATGCATTCAGCAGGAAAAAATTAAAGCCCATACTATGCGCCAGGCAGTGACTGAGACCCCCATGGCCCTGCATCCATGCAGGCTCAATTCCACGCTTTGGCATAGAATTTAGATACCGGTAGCTGCGTTGGGTAAGACACAGGGAAATATCTCCGCCGAGTCTTCAAATGAAAAGCTCTATTCCTGGAAAGGCACTTAAGGAGAGCCCAGCTTGGCAATTTCTAAATCATCTGGGCCAGAGAACCTTTTGCAGGGACACATAAGAGAAAGCAGGACAGTCATCAGCAATACATACGGACCTTCTGTTGCTCCAAGAGCATCAGTGGGAAGCCCCACCTTAAAGCCCCCTGCCCATTTGACAGATGGGGACACTGAGGCCAGAGAGAGTAGTAGGGCTCCTCCAGGCACAGCTCAGGGGTCTGGGGAGGGGCCTGGCCTGACTTGGGGCAGGCACTGGCCTGTGACACTCTGCCCTTCTCCCGCTCCGGGCGTTCAGAACGGGGCTGTTTACCCCAGACATGGCCTTTGAGACCATTGTGAAAAAGCAGGTGAAGAAGATCCGAGAACCGTGTCTCAAGTGTGTGGACATGGTTATCTCGGAGCTAATCAGCACCGTTAGACAGTGCACCAAGAAGGTAACCCGCCTGCCCGGCAGCCGCCTCCACCCGCCATGCACCGCTGCCAGGCGTCCCCTCTCCTCACATCCCCACGTCCCCACTGCCTCCACGGCAGCATGTACAGACCCCAGCGGGGTAGGGGAGGTGAGGGGGACCCACCTCCAGCCCTGTGGACCACGGGCTGGACACTGGGGAGACAGGGATGATGGCTGGACATTGGCCCTGAGCACCCACCATGATCGCCCCCAGTTCAGAGAGAAAAAGGCTTGGGGAGCCTGCTGCACCCCTCCCCACCACAAAGGTGGGTCCTCTTGGGGTCTCTAGGGAGGGGCCGTGGGAAGAGACCGGTGAGGTACAGGGTCTTCTTGGGCGTGGCGCTGGGAGCCTGGGGGCGCGAGCAGCGCAGAGGGTCCAGGATTAGCGGGGGCCATGATTCTGCTGTGTTCCCTCCCCGCATTGTCACCCACCTTCACTCAGGCCCCTCACTTAGGCCTCCCCTTCTGTCCACATCCAGCCTGCCTGGGACAGAGCTGTCTCCCATCTGCTGTGTCTCCAAGTCCCCAGGGCCACACAGAGAGGCGAGGCTGAGGAGGGTGGCACCCACCTCACAGCAGAAGAGCTGAGGCTTGTCCACGGTGCCAGGGCTCTGGACTCCCACGCTGACCGCACCCCAGCCTCCCTTCCTCTGCTGTCCCCACTGCTGCCCCGGCCCTCTCTCACCACCTCCACTCTTTCTGTCTTCCCTCTTCTCTCTCTTTCTCTTTCTGTCTTTTGAAGCTGAGTCCCACCGGAGCCTTTTGGAGGAAAGGGATGGACCCTGGGAAGAAGGGGGCGCAGGAGTAGGTCAGGGAGCTGGGGCACGGAGGCCAGACCGCTCCCCGAAGCTCCAGGAGGCCTCCAGCAGACCCCCGGCACCAGTCGGCAAGGGGAGGCACCTGGAGCTGCTCACTGCACAGCCTGGGCGCCTGGGTGCAGCCGCCCTGGGGGAGGCTGGGAACAGCGCTGGGCTGAGTCAGGATGAAGCAAATGCAGGGGTCCCTGGAAAACTTAGAATTGAACAGCGTGGTGGGCAGGGTCCTGGCCTGGCTCAGCTCCTTAGGAAGACCCAAAGCATACACAAAGATGGGTCTGGAAAAGGGAGAGTGAGCAGGCTTAGCATAGCTGGGGAAGGGATGGGCAGCCCTGGGTGAAGTCTAAAGCCAGGAGGGATCTTTACTCTGGGCAGGGGCTTGGGCCCCGAGCCCCCTGGCCATTCGGCGCCTGGGAGGTGTGAGCCGGGTGGCGCAGGGAGGGCCGGGTCCCGTGCTCACTTGTGTTCTGTTCTCTCTCTCTGTGTCGGTGTCTCTCTTCCCCCATGCCTGTGCCATCCTTCCTCACCCTGGAGCCTGGCCTGCTCGGCTTTCACTCCCCCCCTCCCCCCCCACCTGCCCACCTGGCCGCTCCCCCTGGCCCTCCTGCTCCTGCTCCTCCTCCTCCTCCTCCTTCCCGGGTGCAGGACGGGCCTCTTCACACCTGACCTCGCTTTTGAAGCCACAGTGAAAAAGCAGGTGCAGAAGCTCAAAGAGCCCAGTATCAAGTGTGTGGATATGGTAGTCAGTGAGCTCACGGCCACCATCAGAAAGTGTAGCGAAAAGGTATGGCGGCCGCCTGGGCGGGGCTGGGCCCAGCCGTCCCTTCCTCGAGGCCATGGCCTCCCGGGGCCGGAGCCATCTGCCGAGCATACTGGCAGCCTCTGGGCTCTCCACAGGAACCAGACTCTTTCATGTGCTGGGTGACCCCTGGCCTGATGTTTCCTGCCGGCTTATAACCCTGACTCTCCTGGCCCTCATGATCCCTCCAAGCCCCGGACTTTGCTCTAATTCACGCTTCCTCAGCGGCCCCCTTCCGTCAATAAGAATGACAGTGACAGCTGGACGTGGTGGCACACACCTGTAATCCCAGCATTCAGGAGGCTGAGGCAGGAGGATTGTCGAGAGTTTGAGGCCAGCCTTGGCTACTTCTAAGTTCAAGGCCAGCCTGAAAAGCCAAAGAAACAAACAAAAACAGTGACAGTGAGGACCACAAGACGGACAAGAGGGCACATGGCTGCTGCTGTGGGCCAGCACCAGATTAAGTGCTTGCCCTGACCATCTGGCTTAACTCTCTCAGCGTCCCACAGAAGTGGGTACCAGAGACTCTAAAAGGAAAAGCAGATTTAGGAAGGGGGTCTGGGGTCCGAGCCTCCTGAGGTGGGGAGACATCCAGTCCCTCAAAGCCAATTTTCCCCAAAGCATACTGGGTTACTCAGTCCACAGGAATCGGTGCATGTTAGAAGGCTCAGCCTCCTTTCGAGTTGCCTGTGACCTTTCGGATACCTTTTTCCTGTTTGTCTACTTTTGGGGTATTTTGAGGATTTTCAGCCAGGTCACCAAAGCAGTTGTTTTTCCCCCTGGGTGTACGAGAGAGATCCCCCTGGCAACAGGAGCTTTTCCAGAATCCAGATAGCCCCGTAGCGCCCGCCAGCTCCAGTCTCACTGGTGTTCCAGAAAGCCCCCTGTGCTGTGGGGTGGAGCACAGTAACACCACCCTGATTCTGGTCTGCCCGGCACCCTGCCACGTAGAGACAGGTCCCAGGTCCTTCAACTTCGGGATCTGTGTACACCCTGTCCCCTGGCCCACGCACAGTGCTTCCCCCGGTCCTTGGTCTGGCTGAGACAAGCAGTAGAGAGCAGTTACAGCTAATAGCTTCTGCAAGACTGCCCTCCGAAAGAACTTCCTGCCTCGCAAGCACAAGGACCGAGTTAGATCCCCAGTACCAAAAAAAAAAAAAAAATCCTTGTTGCTTCCTTCCTTTTTTTTTTTTTGTTTTTGAAATAGAGTGGTTCAGGCTGACCTTGAACTCGCAGTGATCCTGAGATCCTGATCCTCCTGCCTCTGCCTCCCCAGTAGCCAGATTACAGGCATATGGCACCATATCTGGCCAAATCTTGTTGGTTTTTTTGTTTGTTTGAACATACACACACACACACACACACACACACACACACACGCGCACTGGCTTGCTGGGTTATCACACTGCGTCTGTATTAGCATCCTACTCTTGCTCTTATTAGATGCATTTGGGGAGCAATTATTATATAGTCTACATAAACATTTTTAATGATTGCATGAGTGTCTAAGAAATAGATTTATTGTGGTTTTACTTAACCACATTCCTGTTGTTGAGCATTTAAGTAGCTGTCAGTTATTCAATATTTGGAATAAATAACCTGGCCTTCAATATCTTTGTATATAAAGATATATTATTTTTTCTTTCTCAAGGATTGCTTCCTAAGGCCAGATTCCTAGACAATTGATTACTAGATATGAACATTTGAAAGCTGTAGAACACTTTACCGAATTGAGTTCCAAAGGGGAAATAGTAATTTTTGTCAAGGGTAAAATTTTGGAAACAACCTAGGTATCCATCAAGAAGAGATCGATAAATCAGGCGTGGTAGCGCAAGCCTGTAATATCAGCCCTCTGGGAGGTTGAAGCAGGAAGATTGAAAGTTTGAGCCCAGCTTGGCCCATTTAGTGACTTAGCGAGACCCTGTCTCAAAATGAAAACTAAAACAAAGAAAGGCCTGGGGATGTAGCTAGTGCAAAGGCCCTGGGTTCAGTACCCCCTGCTGGAGAGTGGGGCTCAGTAATAGGTCAAGTATTATACAGAGAGGGGAGACTGCAGCTGTTAAGCAGCCAAGACATATTTATTTGTTTCTAGTCATATGTCCTTCCACAATTTACTGTGGGGGAAAAAAAAAACAAAAACCCAGGTTTCAGAATGGAACACATATGGTGGTGGTATTTGTTTGTTTGTTTGTTTGGGGGGGATTTTTTGGTACTGGGGATCGAACTCGGGACCTTGCACTTTCAAGGCAGGCGGCAGCAACACTGAGCTAAATTTTGGGGGAAAATTAATTAAATGATAAAATTTCACAGTCAAACCAGCTGTGGTGACACAAGCCTGAAACCCCAGCTACTCAGGAGGCTGAGGCAGGGAGATTACAAATTCCAGGTCAGGCTGAACAATTTACCAAGATTCTATCTCAAAATTAAAAAATAATAATACGGCAAAGGATGTAGCCCAGTAATAGAGCACTCCTGGGTTAATCCCCAGTACCAAGCCCAACGTGGTGGCTCACACCTGTGAGCCCAGCACTCGGGAGGCTGAGACAGGAGGATCACTGTGAGTTTGAGGCCAGCCTGGGCTGCATAGTGATTTCAAGTACAGCCTGAACTACATAGCAAGACCCTTTCTCAGAAAAAAAAAAAAAAAAAGGGAAAAGAAAAAAATCCCCAGTACCACACCAAACACAAAACCAAAAAATCCAAATTTACATTCAATAGCCACTAAATTTTATTTTAAAGGAGGGCAAGGAACATAGGAATCTTTCCATTTCTACTTCACAAATTTTACTCATATTCAAATATTTTACAGTTATCTGTATGATTTAACAAATAGAAAAACTGATCAACAAAAATGTTGAAAAGGAAAATTTTGGTCAAGAAACAAGCTGGGTGTGATGACGCACATCTATAATCCCAGCACTCAGGGGGCTGAGGCAGAAGGATCACCGTGCATTTGAGGCCAGCCTGGGCTACATAGTGAGTTCAAGGCCAGCCTGAACTGCATTGTGAGACCCTGGCTCTAAATAAATAAATAGCAGGAAAATATTTTTGCCTTGATTTAATGAACAGTATTTTTCCTTAATAACAAAACTCATCTATCTTTTTTTTTCTATCCATGAGGGGTTTTTTTTGGTTTGTTTGTTTGTTTGTTTGTTTGTTTTAAGAATAGCAAATCCTTCCTGTGAGATATTTGATAAATGTCTAACTCTAGGGACTGCTAGCCCTGCCGGGACTACACTTTTCATGTCTGATGAAATTTAGAATTTAAGGTTGGGTGTGGGGCTTGCTACTCAGTTATCTGAAGAACCCTAGGAGGGACACGGAGAAAATGAGGCTCAGTGAAGTCTGGTCACCTTGCTAAAGACAGCAGGCAGGCAGGGCTGGTGGGAGCCCAGAGCGCTGTGGCTGCAGGAGCTGCCTCCCCAGCCACTACACCCATAGGCTCCAGGCTGCCTGCTCTGCCAAGGCAGGGAGAGAAAAGTTCCATTTTCAGAACTGGCTAAAAGTCCCAGAAATGCTCCCAGGCAGCCAGAATGGAAAAAGATGCTCGAAAGGAACAGAACTCCTCAAAGGGGGCTGAGGCTGCCCTGCCACGTGTGACGCGTGGAAAACTTGAGAAATGTCCCATGCGGGCGGTGGGTGGGAAGACTGGTCATGCTGTTGGACAAGTTGCTCCCTCCTCCCTTCCTGTCACCCCACATCCAGCCCTGCCCTGGAGTAGGGGCGGGGTCTCCCTTCAGCCTTGGGGAACAGCAGGTCTCCGGCTCCCTGGTGCTTGACCACCCCAGGCACGCCCTTAGTACAGCCACAGGACAGGGTGAGGGCATCTCTTGAGCTGGCATGCAGGGCACCGCTTTCTTCCCTGTCCTCCTGCCCCTCCTGGCCCACCAGCTCCTCGGCCCCCATCTCACCCTGAGATGCACCCCAGTGGCCCCGGTGCACCACCCTTCGGCTCTCGTTCCGCTTAGAGGGGCCCACCTGAGGGGCCTGACCCGGGCACAGAGAAAGGACAAGCCGGGCGTGGTGTGGCGCATGCCTGTGATCCCAACACTTGAGAGGCTGAGCCAGGAGAATCACCACAAGTTCAAGGCCAGCCTGAAGTACATAGCGAGACCCCATCTCAAAAAAGAGAGACAAGGCACTGCCTAGCTTTCCCAGCCAGGTCTCACACCGGGAGGGACAGCGCCCCTGGAGGGCCCCGCTGGAAGGCTCTCTTGGTGGCCATCAAGGCCCAGTGAGCCTCCCTCCCTGTGCCCGCCGCCCAAGGACATCCACCCTTCATCCATCCCTCCATCCCTCTATGCGCCCGCCAAGCACTGCCGTGCCCACAGCCCATTGGGGTGGTTTCTGCCCAGCGGGTGGGGGAGGCCCCAGCTCAGCTCTCTGTGCTCAGGGCAGGGTTTCTAGGAGAGGACACAGCCAGCTGTGGCAGAGTCCGTCGCCTGGGCTTTGTGCAGACCCAGCTAAGTGGAAGGCAGGGTTCACAGAGCAGGGTTTGGAAGCAACTAGGAGAGGAGGCACTGCCAAATCCCCACCCCAAGGGAGCAGGGTGCAGACAGCTCGAGCGTCAAGGGCGCGGAGAGGGACAGGACTGGGGGGATCGTACCCAGGGCCCAGCCAGGCCCCGCGGGGTACTGCTCATGCTGCTGGCTCCCTCGCTCCGCATGCCCGCCTCCCGTGCCCTCGCATACCTGCCTGCAGCCCCTGCATGCCCTCTGGTGTGACTGCTAGTTTTCCCCTGCGATGTCCCCACTCCCAGCTCTGACAGAGCACCACCTGTCCCGCCGTACTCAGGAGGCCCCCTGGCACTTCGGGCCCTGCCCTCCCCGGTTTCTCCGGCAAGGACTCGAGGCTGCCCATGCCTGCTTCCCCACCCAGGCCCGAGCCTTAGGAAGGCCCGGGAAGCAGCGCCGTCTCACAGCCTGCGTCCACCCCCCGCCAAAGTGGCACTGCGCAGGCTGGTTCCCGGGTGCTCCTTCCCACCGAAGCTGCCCAGACAGACTGAAGAAGAGGGCCCGGAGCCAGGGAGCCCCGTAAATTGTCATTCGGAACCACCCTGAGGGAAAGGGATGGTCAAGGCCTGGTGCCGTCCGCTTCCTGGGAGCCCAGGGCCCTCTTCCCGCCTGGCAGGCCTTCTGTGTGCACCTCCCGCCAGCCCTGGACCCCGGGACTCGGGACTCAGGGGGGGG